TGAAGGAAGGGGAGTGGGGAAGAGACATGTGGAAGACCCAGTGTTTAGGGAGACATCTTCTCTTAAAAAAACCAAACAAACAATTTCACCCAGGAACAGAGAGACGCCTCTCCATGGCAAGATAATTATTCAGAACTAGATTTTGTCCTCCTATGTTCTTCACCCTGTGAAATTATTATGGCTGTTTGCAAGGTGCAACAGCACACACCAGAGCAAGAATCCACGCAGAAGGTTGTCTTAACCGAGAGACCAGCATAAGAAGCTTGACAGGTTCTTCTGGCCTGTCCTTGCTACTCTTACAAAAAATGCATGGTATGTTTACTTCACAGCCATCAGCTGCTGATTTTTCTTTCAAGTATAAATGATGGCTAACAAGAGGTAATGAGTTATTGCTGGGGGCATGTACAAAAGATTTGACTCTCGGCCCTTCAAAGCCTGATCCCTGGCTTTGAGGAGCAGTAACAGGATGCTTTTTCAACTGTTGCACATCCTGAATTCATGCTGGAGTGTAGAACTCTTAACAATAACAGCTCAAGAGTTCATGGGCTGGATGATACAATTACAACAGAGAGAGCACTCTTCCTCCCCAGGCTTCTTTGAGGTGTTTTGAGTCAAAGTCCAAAACAAACATGAAGTATCCAGAAATCATTGTTCTCTTCTGAGTTTTGCTTCCTGACAATCTGAGCAGGAAAGCTGCCAGGAAGGACTGCACAAGTGAAAAATAGCAAAAAACAGCTAATTTAAGAAAACAGACTGCCCAGAGGGAAAGGAAAGCCATAACAAGCAGCTTTTAAAGGGCTCCTGCTGGCACTGTATGAAATCAGGTATGAATTCAGTCATTTGCAGGGATGTTTTCCCATTTCTCCTGAGCTGTGGGTAGCAGTGGCAGCCGTGTGGGTCTGAGTGCTGCACACAGACTGACGCACGCTCTCCAGTGCAGTCGCAACGCGGCGCCCTCAGGTGGGGAGGAATTTTGGCAAAGAACAGAACCAAACCCTTCAGCAGAAAGGATCATGTGCTTCTCTGCTTACACGTCACCTCTCAAATCAAAACATGAAAGTTGTCTCAGGCCCTTAGGTCTTTCAAAGACCTAGTCTGCAGAAGAGCAAGTCCTCGGGTACATAATGGTAGAGCCCATGTATCTCATCCATACTGTTCCTGTTTGTTTTCACTGAGAGAACAAGTACCTCCCAGTCCCACCGAACGGACCCTACTGCTGGATGAAGGCATTGTTATTCTTCCTCTGCAGCTGCTGGTACGAGGCTCTAACATTAATGCAGGTACCAAAAGCTTTCTCCTAAGCACACTGAACAAACAAGCGGCCTTTCTTTATGCTTAGTGGGCTTTGAATTCAGACCCAGTAGAGTTGTGTGCTCTGAATTAGGGCTTCTATCTACCAGAGCTCATGTTTAAGGCTCATTGCTATGGAAAGTCTTCACATTCTCTTTCCATGCCTTGTCCTCACGCCTTCCACAAGTCACGATGACACTCAGCAAGGGTCAGTGAATGAAAAAAGGATACACTTCATCTCTCTTCTAAAGTGCTCAAAATTCCTATGGATTAAATCAGAGCAAGAGAGTCCTGTTTTACAGCTTCATCTCCAAAAAGCCCATCTGAGAATACTGACAAAGTATTGAAAGGCTTGAAAACCAAGAGGACATATCTGTAAGCAGTCTCATTTGGATCTGCATCAAATGCTTGCTTACAAAGTGGCCACATGCTGCTGGTGTGGGATACAGGGCCCACAGAGCAATGGCTGTACAGCTCCAAAAATCAACCTATTCCCATTCAGCAGGGAAAGACTGCCGCTGGGGCTCTAGCATTGGGGTTCACCACAGTCTGGGTTAGGTTGCTCCTTTCAGAGTGACCACTGCTTTTACTCAACGAGGAAGCGGGCGAGGGCTTTGTGGATAAGAATTGGGCCAAAGCCGCAGGAATCAGCATAAAGTTTGTGGGGGGCATGTCACCAGCTCTGCTCTCCAGCCCTCTGCCAATCAGTTTATATGGACCAATTCTTAAAAAAATCTTTTTTCTGTAAATTTTTTGAGAATTTTTGTGTAAATGTTGCAAAAGAAAATTTATTATTTCTTAACAAACAGATTTTCCCCCATATCCACATAACTTTATTTCACTTCCCCCTCCTCTTCCAAGAGCAGATTTAGAATGCCAATGGGAAGCTTGCACAGATCCAGCACTGGATGGATTTTATTTTATAATCAAAAGGTAAAAGTGCAGTTGTTCTTCACCTCTTAGTTTTCAGGGATTGAGATTTTGCCCTTCAGGAAAGCTAAATAAATAGGAAGTCAACTTCCATATGCTGTCTGTCTCATGATTCACTATAACATTTCCCTAGTAGCAGGCATGGTTGCCTCCCGAATAAGGAGAGTTAAAACCTTCCTGTAGGTGTCTAAGACCTCTTGGGCAGAAGGCCTTTCAGCCGGGTCCTTCTTCTTACATGCTGCATGGATGTCAAACAAATGCAGTCGCACAATGTCACTTCCTTCAACGTGGCCCAGTAAAAAATTGGAGACATCTGGGATTTTCCAGATGTCTGTTTTCTCGTCATAGGGTGGCATGAGGTCATCCTCGAAAGGCACCTCTTCTCCATAGGGCCAATGCTGCTCAGGAGCTACAAACTCGCCCTGGAGCTCCCGGTGACCACACTTCACCAGCCTGCCAGCACTCTTGTTCACAAGAGGCAAAGCATCCAAATCGTTCACCAGGATGTGAAAGTCACTTGTGAGGAGATACTGTGAGAGGACCTTGTCCAGGTCATTGGAGTCGCACATCACTAAGGTGCCCAGCGGGCTGCTGTGCAGGTACCGAATGACGCTCACGTAGTCTATGGCCAGCATCAGCCTGCGATGCCAGGTGTTCATGCCCTGGTACTTTGGGATGTGCAGAGTTTCATTCAGGCCCCGCAGGGAGCCTAGAGGATGGTACTCGGTGAGGATTGTGAACTGCTGCTCACAGTAGCCGAGCAGCCGGACAACGTGCTTGCTTTGAAGTGCCTTCAGCATCTTCAGTCCGTGGAGGAAGTCCTCCTTCAGGTCCGAGTTGGTGAGCAGCGAAAGGACCACTTTGTTTTCCTTCCACTCGGAAAGGAAGACCTGAGAACACACAAGAGATGTGTAAGATGTGTGGAGAGCCTTCTTCCACCAACTGCTACCAGGTGCCGCTGACCTCTGAATGACTGCTTAGTCACAATGGCAAATTAGACACCAGGCACAGTCAAGCTTTTAGGTAGGGCCATGCACCTCTCACAGCAAGCCCTGACCAACTAATAATTACATCATGAATGCCTAAGTTTTGTTTGGAATGGGCAATGCAGATGAATTATTTCACGCACCCAACCAGCCAGTCTTACTCTGCCACAATTGTACCACGCTTCCCAAGCACTTTGGCGCTCTCAGTGATTTTGCTTGTATAGCTGGGTGTCATTTGGTGTCAGGGAGGTGGCCCAGCGCTCTGGTTGTGCTCTCCTACCCGTTCTGTGAACCTTACCAGTAGCCATATGCCCCTGGATGCCTACTGTAATGAGATGCTTCGAGGATAATTATAAGAGCAGCATGTGCATTAATTAGCCATCAAACAGTGAAAGGTCTTTATCCACAGGAGAGAAGAAAGGAAACCAAACTCACCTTTTTCACAGCACCTTCACCAACACACTTGAGTTTCCTGACTTCCCTGTTTATGGCTTCGCAGGAGAGCCACGGGGAACAATTCTTCATTGTTCCCATTTTGAAGTACCCAAAAGGGCAGAGGCCAGGGTCCATTTCAGCATGTCCTGAAGACGTGTAAAACTTGTTGAGGTACAGGTAGAGAAAGGCATTAAGGAGCAGGATGGCCGCCAGCAGTAACGCCAACGAGACGGACGACACCTCCCTAGGAGGAAACTCCCTCCTGACGAAGTGCGGTTTCTTTTCCATGGCCGTGCCAATGCATCCTCCGCGGAAGCGGGAGGCTAAGCAGGGGCCGGACGGCTGTGGGGCTTTCCCATGGAGGGGCCGGCAGCTGCCCGCAGCCTAGCAGGAAGGCCACGCGTGGCAACAGGCGACGTGCAAAGCGGCTCCGAGCTCGACGCCCGCCCGCTCGCCATCCCTCCGGCTTCCTAACCGGCAGGCCGTGGGCTGGGACG